GAGATATGACTGGTCATGGAGTTAACCCTTGGGCTCCATACAGTTGCCTAAAGACAGGTATCTTGTGCCACGCAACATGCCATCCCATGGGTCTGCTGTGGTCCTGAACGTGCCAGCCTGCATTGATGCCCCAGACAGCCTGGGCTGCCTCTTGCTGCCTCTTCTGAGGTCTGACACAGGTGGTGGAGGGCTGCTTGCAGGCAGAGGTCCAGGTCTCAGTGCAGCAGCAAAGCCTTTGTGGCTTGGCCAGGCTTGCCAGGGCAGTGCCTGGTGGTAGTTCATCTCTGTCCCTTAGAGAAGCTTTGGGAAAAAAAAAAAACACCCCTGCGAGGGGCTCTTAGATTTAGGCACTTTCCTCATTTCTCATGGCTGCGGAGAGGCTCTGTCTCAATGTTGGGGACCTGGGGGGCAATTCCTTCTCAGCACCCAAAGCACCCTGTGGTTACTGTCCCTGTCCCTGCAGCACCTGCAGCTGTTCCTTGCTCTGCACACAGTCTCAGGGGCCTTGTTCCACACACAGGTGGAGAGGTCTCAGGGACTTTTGCACTGTTCTTCCCAGAAGTGTGGTATGAGGTAACCCCAGGTGGACCAAAGGACACAGGTCTCATTTCTAGGGCTTTGTCAAGTGTGCATGGCACCTGATTGCAGCACGTCCTGCAGGAATTTTGTGTTATTCTGAGCCAGCAACTCCTGGTTGGCTCAAGAGCCTTGGCTAGTAAGATTCTGTCTTCAGGGTGCAGAGGACTCGTATTTGCATTCATGACATACAGTTACGCAGGGGAAAAGAACAGCAGGATCTGAGACACTGATGATGTTGGCCTGTAGGTTCAGAGCAGCAACACTTTTTAGAGCAAATGCAGTGCCCCAGACAGAAGTTACATTGCCCATCATTGTGATAATTAACATTTGAGCTCTACCTGACCTGGAGGTGGAGTCTGTTATAGGTCAAACACCTGAGGAATCCCAGGCTTCCAGGGAAGTACTGAATTGCACTAGACAAAGGGAAGGTGTTCTCATTGGACTGAGACAATGACTATTCGTTGCTATGATGCTTCAACCTGGCCTTTGCTCAGTATAAAAATCTTAGTTTCTACATAATGCAAAGCATTTTTCTGCCCTAACAGGCTCTCTTGATCTACTTTTCCTGCTTCAGCTGGTATAAGCTTTCCCAGTGGTGGGCTGGGCTGTTCTATAGGAATTCCCTAGGGGGATGCAGCTGGCAGAGCTGGTTTTGTTCTCTTGGCAGCTGCAAGTGTCACAAGCTGTATTTATCCGTATGCTGCCCGGCCCTTCCAGGCGTGATCAGCTCATGGCCTCACTGGATGGCCCCAGTGCAGAAAGTGCTTTGGCCTTCTTGAACCTGTAATTGGCAAAAAGGACCTGGTGAATGGTAGCTAGAAATAGAAACCAAGCTGTGCAGCTCCCCGGCACTGCCCCAGTGCTTTGTTGAGGCTGCCCAGTTTAGCATCGTGCCCCCAAATGGGGTGGGAAAGCACTAGCAGAAGGATGCATCCTGCCACCCAGGAGTGCCAGGTGAGCGTCCTGTGGTGCTCTGTGCTGTCATCCCGAGCCTGAGCATGAGGAGAGGGTGGGAAGGGAGTGGTCTCCAGGAGGTCTGTTCCTTTGGACGATCGGTGTGACTCCCTTGCATGTCTTTCAGAGAGGGCATGCACCAACCACTGTGGACCCCTTGCCTTCTTGCTGCAAGCAAGGATCTCCTGAAGGGATGCTGGAGCAGGAGTCTGCTGCGCAGGTAGAAGGGGGGAAGGGGCGCGTTCATTGTGTTGCAGTGGGCCCCAGGCCCTACAAAGGGCCTGGAGCTGCTGTCACTAGAGCTCATCTGCCACATCAGTTCCATCTCAGCGTCCCTCACTTTGGGACCGTGCCCTGGCCAAGGTCCGCAGAGACCAGTGGACTGTCCGGGCTCCTCTGCTGACTGCCTCCAGCCCAGCCTGCTTTGTGCAGCACAAACCAAGTGGCGGTGTGGTTCAGGCCACAGCATCGTTTCATTTTGTGGTGTGCTTCTGAAGTTCCATCTTCCCTTGTGCTGTTTGAAGAACAGGGTTTGTGCACACGGGCTCCTCCCTGTTTACATCCTGCAGGCATGTTTATGAGGTGTGCGTGGGGCACGGCAGTGTCCAGCCTGGCAGCCCTGGCCCAGCCACTACTAGAGCAGCTGTAATCTCCAAGCTGCATACAGGAGACTCCCACCGTGCTGGCAGGCACGTGAGAGGGGAGATAGGGTGCAGGCCTCCTGTTGATAAAACTCTTCGAGGCTGGCTTCTCACACTTGGTTTGGCTGCAGCATTCGGTGTAAGTGGGCTGATCAGACCTGCAGACCCTGGCTGTCCAGGGCAAGCTGACTGTCCTGCAGCGATGCCATGCCTGCATTACATGAGGGTGAGTACTTGGGCAGCCCTAGGCATCGTAATGGGGATCATCGTAATGGGGACTAGGGGGAGAGGAATCGGGTCAGCTCTGAGTGTTTTTTTGCACAAAGGAGTTTAGATATATCCTGTTTGGGAATATGGATTTAAGTCTAGTCCAGAGAAAAAGGTTCCCAAAAGATGGCAGCCTAAATGGGCCACAGAATGGCAGAATGGTTTTGCTGCCCTTCCTAGGTAGCTGGGAGCTTGCCTAAGGTCATGCTGGGATTCAGTGGCAGAGCCTGGCATTGAATCCAGAATTCCTAGGTCCCCCTGGTGCTGTACTCACCTTGTCCTTCTCACTGCTGCTTTGCTGGGAGATGTGAAGTGCCCACTAGGGTGTTTTTTTGTTGTTGTTGTTTATTTTTCCTCAATTTTAATGGTACATGTTGATTTCTGTGTTTATCATCTTTCTGTTTTTACCCACCCGAAGCCCTGGGACAGGTGCACAGGATGACGTTTTTTTCTAGGCACAGTGCTGCACTAGCTCTGCTGAGGAGCAGGTGGCTGTGCTGCCACAGCTTTTACTCGCATGTCCTCACCAGGGATCAGCTGGCAGTGATCTACTGCCAGGCTTGTGCTTCAGGTGCTTTCCTGTTGGTGCTTTCTTCCCTGCATGGCTTCCGGAGGCTGCACCCCAAGCGCTGGCCAGGCCAGCCTGGCTGCACACTGCTAACAGTAAATCTGCAGCCATGGCACAGGGTCTGTGGTGCGATATCTCACAGCCTGCTCATCATAGCAGAAAGCCCCCTTCTCAGCACTTTTCCTCACGCAAGCAAGCAAAGCAGGTGTGGACTAGCCGTGCTGAAGCAGAGGGACAGAACAAACTAATACAGACTGCAGAAATTAGGAGGAGTTTATACATAACACTAGCAAAGAGAAGGAATTTTCAGCACGAGGCACTGGGTCAGACCCTGATGGCATACTCCAGCCTCCAGCCCATCTCTTGAGTGCAAGGGCCCAGGGCCAGATGAGGCTGGGTCATAAGGTGTGCCTTTGTCCGCGGCTTCAGATGGGCTCAAAGCATGTCCCCATGTTCCCCCTTTCACTGGCAGTGTTTGTTGTATGTACCTGCCTGAGCAATGTCATGGACCAGGAGGGCAGTGCGTTAGGAAAGTGGGAGATAAAAAGCAGTCACAGTGCTGCCGCATCTCTGTCACCAGCTGTAAGCGCTGTTATATTGTAAGAAGAGGTGTAGTTCCTGAGCAACAAGCTCTGATGTATTGTCTTCAGTCACAGTCTATGTATTTTCTGATGAAGTAAAAATAGCTTTTCTTTTTCAGGATATGCAGAGAGCAGAGGCTCCTGCTAATATCAAAGGAGTGTGACAGCTTTCCCCTGGGTGCACCTCACCCCAGCTGGCAGGAGCAGTAGCTGTGCTAGCTCTTGCCTTGCTTTGGGTCTGTGTGAGAGGGACAATGTTCTGTTCTCCAGCTCCCTGTTTGGGTATCTGGACCAGCCCCTGTTCCTCTCTCCACTCAGTGCTGCTGAACCCAGCGCTGTACTTCATTGAGAAGTGGTGCTTTGCAAAAGGCAGAACAAAATCTTGATGCTACTGCTTAGAAAATCCATCAGTAGTAGGTGGTAACTGGCAGACAGGCTGTCACAGAGCTGCAGGCTGTAGCACCAGGGGATCCTTATCAGAAGGATCAGTCTGCCATGAAGGGGCAGCTCCCAAGTCCTTGTTCACCGCAGATTAAGCTGCTTCTGATATACACCCTCCTCCAGTCCTGAAACTATTCCAGCTTCAGCAGCTATCAACGGGGATCTGTGAGGGGGAGGGAAGGAGCCAGCGCAGATGCTGTCTGCACCTGGACATGCTCGGCAGGGACAGAGCTAACCATGGCCCTGAACTGCACCACCAGTAACAGTCCAGAACATCTCTTCTGTTAAGACTGAATAAAAATGGACTTTCCAAAAGCTAGTTCGTTATGATTCTGTAAAGATGGAGGACTGTGCATAATACATGGGCCAGGTGACTGCACCTGAAAACTTGCCTCCTCTTTACTACCTTCCAAGCTCAAACTAACAGACAAGTTGCCTCCCTTCTCCCAAACCTGTCAGGGGCCCTCTTTCCTTTACTTTGTGATTTCTGCTCTGCCAGTTGTGCTGAGTTCTCTTTCAGCTCTAACAGCCCCCTCGCTGCAGGAACATGCGCAGAGTTCTTGCTTTCTGCATGGTCAGATTCTCATGCATGCAAGATGATTGTGCCCCCAACCCCGGCACTCTTGTCACTGGGGGTCTCTGCTGCCCTTACCAGTCTTTGGCCTGTGACTGATCTGTTGAACAGTGGAATGTGCCCTAGGGAGGCCTGGAGTATTGTGAAATCTCCACTCAATAGAAAGTAACATGGCAAGGGGTTTACTCAGGGTTTTGCATGAAATGAGAGGAAGCTCGCGTGGCAGGTGCCTTCCAGGGATGACCTCTTGGTGTCTTGACTCTCATCAGTCCTATTAAAGTCTGCAGACCTGCCCTAAATCATGTGGGCAGGGGTGAGGATGGTGAGAGTATAGGTTTTGGGCATATATCCTTTTATCTGATGAGCTTTCCCAAGGCTTTTGCTTTTCTCTTTCATCTAGGTTTGCAGTATGTGCCTGGTAGCCTCTTCTCTGTGCTCTTCTGGCAGCCCGCCTGAGGCTTTGCTCCAATGGCTTCTCTGGAGATGCTGTGCTCTGCTGAATGCTTTCTTCCACCCAGAAGGCAGAAACCTGACAGTAGGTTTTGTACCCACTGCAGACACCACTGGGAGTGTCAAGCTTCTGTGAATGCAGATAGGGAAGAAAGTTCCTGTACAGCAGACAGTGCGGTTTCTCTTTCTGGGTATTCTGAGCTGAATCCATGATTCAATTTTCCTGATCTTCCCTGATCTTTTTAGAGAGACCGTAGGATACATCTCTGACTGCGCTTAATCTTAGCAACTGTTTTAGTTTGCAGGACTGACTCCAATCTGATGAGAAGGGCTCTAGGTTATCACCTGGAATCAGCTGGTTGAAGTCAAAGCACTTTGTTTCAGCAGGTAGTGGGAAGGGCCAGTGGATCCTAGCAGCCTCTAACTGGGCAGGGCTTCTCTTTGGGGACTGCTGGAGTCATGGGTTTGTTGGAAAGGGTGCCCAGTCCCTTTCTCTGAGCATCTTTGGCCATGTCTGCAGCCGGACATAGGCCCGAGCAGTCCCGTCAATCTGCATGCACATCCTTGCAGTGAAGGGGTCCCACCTCCTCCGGAGCTCCCCAGCAAGCAGCCAGCTCAGCCCCTTCCTCCTGCTGGGTGCTGAATAAACAACGAAGTATTTGCAGTCCCTGCCCAGGCTGCCTTGCAGCTCCAGCAGAAGACTTGTAGACAGGAGAGACAAGTGGGCAGACAGGGTGAAGAGGGCAGTGTAGTGGGATGCACGTGTGCCTTTCGCCAGTCTGGAACAGCACGGCAACTTGCTGCTTGCCTGCTTCCTGCTGGCCCAGAAAACAGTGACAGCAGCATCAGCTTCTGAACTCGTTTGCACTTGGGAATCATCTATGTGCAGCATTTAGCAGCATGTGCTGAGTGGGTTCCTGACAGATGTAGCCACTTTTCATGGAAGGAGGCAATGTTGAGACCCTCCCTTCCTTTATCAGCAATATGCAGAAGGAGCTGGTGGAGCTCCTCCCAGGGTGGGAATGAGAACGATGGCACTGCCCGAAGAGATTAGAGCAGGGCTCCAACTGTGGACAGAAGACAAACAAAGCAAGATTACTGAACCTCTGACTGCAGCCCTTGAAATCCAGCCTGAACCTCTGGTTTGGCAGAACATCCACTTTGCATATTGCCTTAGGCACAGCTACAGTGGAGGGGCTTTGGTCAGGCCCAGGCTGCTGTTGGAGTGGAGGCACTGGGAGCTGGGACATTGCTATGGTGGCAGTGATGTAGCACAGGGCAGGGCTTTGCAGGCAGGGAAGGCATCTGTGAATAGGGATCGAGGAAGCCTCCTGTCAGGGCCAGGAGAGAGAAAGGGAAAAGGTTGATTGTCAGGAGACAAGGGGAGCTGTTGCCTGAAAGAGAAAGGGAAGGGGAGAGGAAAACTCCCCACTGCACTGTGCTTGTTTTTACTTCAGGTCTTGAACATTTTGCAAAGTCCAGACCTTTGGACTTCTGCCTCTGGGAACTGCTGTAAGCAGCATCCTGCTACTTCACAGCTTGAACATCCACAAGTCTGTGGCACACAGCACCTATGTGCGGGATTTAGCAGTTGTGAGAGAGTGCAAGAAGTGCACAATGACAAATAAGTAAGTTTATCTTCTCCTCTTGGAATAACTCCTTCCTGGAAAATTGCTGGGAAAGCAAAGGTGAATGGAAAGAAACACTACAAACAACAAAAAAGGAAAAGCACTGAGGGCATTCTTTGATCTGGAAGCACTTGCTGCACATGCTGGGGTACACGGATAGCAAGAGACTGTGTGTGTGTGCAGCAATGTGTGCACAAATACCAAGTGGGTGCATGTGGTGTGCCTGTGCTACGCTTTGTGCTCATCTGTGTATTGTGACTGTGCAGTGTGAGCGCATCTGCATTTAGGTGCATTCGTGTTGTGCTGGCTGGGATGTGTGTGCATCTTTTTGGTACGCTCATACGCTTATGTCCAGAGGGTCTCTTCATTTCTTGCTGTCACTGCTCCTTTTTGTCAAAAAGGAGAGGGCAGTGACCCAATATATGCTTAAATTCCCTTCCTAATCTCGTGCTGTCAGGCTGGCTGTGACACCCAAAAGTAACACGAGCTGTTGTGAAATAGTTCCCCCGAGTGACGGGTAGGTAGTCACAGCGTGCACGGGGACTTTGGGAAGGCAACATGACTGCAGGTCTCTTCCCTCTGCTTTTGCTATCAGAGCTGAGCTCCCCTTTCTCTGGCTGCCTGTGCCACCCGGCTGCTGGTGTCTGGCACCCTGTAGTTCTCTGCGCTACCCTGCGCTGGTCCCAGTGAGCAGGGGAGTGTTCGTTCTGAAGCACCCAAGCCTGAGCCCATCAGGAGGGTCCCACCACCCCTCTGCTTCAGGGTGGGTGTTACCTGTGAGATGCCGGGCTCCTGGGCATGTCTGTGGGGCTGCTTGGTGTTGCCCTTCCCAAGGTGTTCTCTGTAGCTCTGACCTGCTCCCTGTGCTTGGCAGCAGGCATCTGCTTTCTGCAGGCAGCTTGCTATTAAATATCCTGTCTGACACAATAATGGAGAGAAAATGAACAAATTCCATTAGCGGCTGGCGATCCCTGCAGGGTCTGCGTTGGAGCAAGGAGTAAGACGGTATTTTTAGAGAGAATGCAATGTAACTTACTGGCTCTCTCAAAGCTGGGGAGTAGATAACCAAGGAGGGGGAGAGGGGACACCAGGCTCAGGTTTCAGCCGAGGTGCCGGACTATGGCAGCACGAAAGGGCAGGTCCCGTCCAGACGTGGCTGTGAGTATACAGTGCACTTCTCCTTTGTGCACAGAGCTCTGCTTTGCTTTTTTGCCTGCTTCCTGCTTGTGGTCTCCGCTGCTGGGCGTGCTGGGGCTTTGGGAGCTCCTTTGCTGCCAGAGCCTGTCAAGTCTTACCATTTTAATCTTCGCAGCTCCGTGCGTGTCCTGTGGGTGGGAGAGTCTGGCTGAGCTGTGCTTGGAACTTCCAAGGGGATTGCTGCCGAAGGTGTGTGCTGGTGTGCCTGCAGCATAGCTGGGGTCCTGACCTGAGATGCAGAGGCTTCCAGCAGGGTCTGAAGTTGGAAAAGCTCTTTGCACTCAACCTGTTGGTTGAAGCTGTCAGTGTTTCCTCACTGGGATCCAGGCGCCAACGTGAACTTCTAAGGGCAGTGCCAGCACTGTCTTCTGCCTCTTACAGCAGATCAGCACGAACAAGCAGACAGCACCGAGGTGCCCCGTGTGTCTCCTCTGTGCTTGCAGCCCTCCACAGGACTGGCAGCCCTGATGTGTATTTGAGGGCTCCTCCCAGACGGGCAGGGCTCTCCTCTGGGGTGGCAGCAAGCAGTGCCAGCTGGCTGAGGGCATGCCTGCTGCACGTGTTCCCCGGCACGCAGAGGCTACACGCCAGCACAGGGCATGGCAGCGCTGCCCTCCTCCACCTGTACCTTTGTCCTGGACAGGGCCATGGCACCCAGCCACCGCCTGTGGGAGCCACAGCTGGGTCCTGCGTGGGGGGCCAGGACACCCTGTCTGTGGGCCTTCCTTCAGGGGGTAGCAGGGCAGTGGGCCCTGCCATGGGCTGCATCTCTGGGTTGGAGGATGAGGGCAGAAAGGATGGAGGATGGCTGGAGGCAGCAGCCAAGTGGTGCTGCTCCGCTTTCCAAGTTGGAATGGCTGAGGCTGGGAGGACAGAGGTCCTGAGCCCAGCTCCTGCACCATCCTGCCTAGGTCTGCCACCAGCGCTGTCCTCAGGCTGCGCTGCTTCCTGTGCCTGTCCCAGGAGCTCACTAACCCTGGATGCTCCTCCACAGCTGGGCTGTGGGTGCCGAAGGGTGGCTAGTACTGGCAAGACATATGCTCACATAGCACAGGAGGTCCCTTGGGGACTCCAGCATGAGGGGTAAGAAAGGGGCTCTGATTTTCTAACAGAGCGGAGGACAGGGGCGTGTGTCCTGCTGCCATGCCACAGATGTCTCATGGCTCCGTGCTGCAGAGAGCCCTTTGGGCTGCACCTAGCAGGCAGTCACCAGCTCATGGTCCCAGCCACACAGAACTGTCACTGCATCTCCACCCTGTAGTTATCCAGCTTTTGGTGAGCCATCTCGTGGTCTTCATTTGCTGCCTTAACCGCTAAATAGTGTTGCTCAAAGTATTGCTGCACCTTGCCGAGGTGGCTGTCTCAGTGGTACAGGGAAGCACTACCTTGTTGCAGTTTTCATGGCTGCAGCATGTGCAGTCAGGGTCATTGTCCCCAATGACACTGTGGCTTCCCAGTGGTTTCTGGAGGACAGCAAAGGCAGGTTCACTAAAGCTGCATTCTAGTGCTTGTCCATCGCTGCTCTCTCTCAGCCAGGACACAAGCATTTGCTGGGCCAAGGGAGGCTGCCATAGCTGCAGCGGTCCCCTTACAGTGTCATCCCTGCCCTGTCAGCAGCGCTGGGATGAGCCATGGCCCCACATGGCTCTCCTCCCCCTGCTCGAGGATGCTCTCCACCTTGAGCTCCATTTCCAGCCCTGCCCCATCCCATCTGATTCGGAGCATCTCAGCTTGTCCCAGCAGTGTCCACCTCCACCTGCCCAGCCTCTGCCTGTCCTGCCTGGTCTCTGTAGCCACATGCTCTGCAGCCAAGGGCCAAGGTGGCCCCATGCCAATGATGGGGGGGATGAGCCCAAGCCTCATGGTTTTTCTTTCTTTCCCAAAGGCCGATGCTGCGACCAGTTTCCTGAGAGCTGCAAGATCTGGGAATCTGGACAAAGCCTTGGATCACCTCAGGAATGGGGTAGATATTAACACCTGTAACCAGGTAGGTGAAACCCAAAGGGGTTCTGGTACCACCTCTCGCTCATGTGGAAACGTGCCGTGCTGTGGCTCTCCCCAGCCCAGGTGACAGCCACCACATCCCTTCCTTACTCTTCCCTGAAGGATGGGGACAGGGAGGTGCCCCATGGCTGCCTGGTTGCTTGGCCCTGCTCTGGCAGCACCTGCCCTGATCCTGGCATGGAGCAGAGTACAAGTGGGCAGGCAGACACTGTGGCAGAGCATGTTTAAAAAGCCAAAGGAGACGTGCCTGGATCACTGGCCTGGGTTGCTGCCGTATGGCAGCTGTCCTGGGCAGGCTCTGCTTGGAAGAGGCTCCGCACAGCCCCCAGCCTGTGGCTGCTGCTGGGCAGGGAACAGCTTTGGACCTATGGTCTCTGGGACAGGGAGAACTGCAAAAGCTGAAGACCCAGGGTGCCTGGCAGTGCTGTCTGGAGGGTAGCAAAGTGCATTGGCAGGTAGGAGAGCAGAGGCTTCATCGGGGCCATCTGTGACTGGGACAGCTGGGAGAGGCTCAGCTGTTTGTCAGAGGGCAGAGTGAAGAGCGTAACACCATGCAGGACTCACTCCTGGGGTTATCTCTAATGCTTGGGATTTCAGATTCCCAGAAGCTGCAGCTGCACACAAGCAAAGGATGCTTGCAAAACACCAGTCTCGGTGGCATGGGAGATGCTGGGCGGGTGGAACCCCCCCCCCCCAGCTCAGAGCAGGGACAGCTCTGCCACAAGAAAGATCTGCAGGCTTGTACATATTTGACAGTCCAGAGGAATGGCTTGCAACTGACAGAACATTTTGTATCTGTGCAGCTGCCAAATGCAAGTGGCTCAGCCTGAATCAGGGTAGGTGCTGCAGGGAGAGACTCAGGGGGCTTGGGCCGAGCAGGGCGAGCAGACAGACGGCACTGTCAGCTACTTCCCAGAGCAGCAGTGATGCTGGGCAGGCTGCCTCAGCAGGTAGCACAAATGGACCTTCACCTGGTTCAGTATCAAGTCCCCAGGCCAAGTGTGGTTCAAAGCTATGATGTGTGCACTGCAGTGGCCGGTGCAGTTACTGCAGACAGGTTGCCCCAGGAAATGTCTCTGTCTCCTTTTCTTTTCTGGCTGACAGTGGTGTGCAGAAATGCTGGGCTTCTGCAGGCCTCTGGGGCATGTTGCAGTTTGCATTCTCCTCAGCAGGGCACTAGAGGAGGCTTGGGGAAAGCTCGTGAGGTGTCTCATTTTGTTCCTCAATGTGTTACCTGGATTATCGGTGGATAATCAGCATCCAGATAATCTCAAAAACTCCTAGGATTGCATGGGCATATGGGATTTAGATCAGATGGGTCTTGTATGGAAAAGAATTAGAAAACTTTCTGTTTCAGCCCTCCAAAAATGAGCTTTCCCTTGGGCTCCCATGTGTGGGCTCAAGGCTCTGACCCCACAACCTTTTTGGAGATGTATAGGGTTTGAAAAGAGGAGAGGCCAAGTGACACTCTGTTCGCACAGAGCTGCAGGGACTTGGTTGGCACTCATCACTGAGCAGATATGCTCGTACCTGGCAGGATCTCCCAAGTTGCTGTGCTTCATTTGGGGATTTGGCCCGCTCATGAAACCCAGCTGCTGCTTCCTTGGGTTCTCTTGGTGCTGTGCTCCTCCCCATGAAGGGCTGAGGACGTGGCCCTGTGTGCTACACTCGTTCATGCCCCCTGTGTGCAAAGGCTGGAGCAGAGCTTGGCGGTAGAAATCGTCTGGCTTTGCTCAGTGGGGTACTGTGGCTGTCTGGAGGAGAGGGGCAGGAGCAGGGTGGCTGTGCGTGGCCAGGCTTACCCACACCTTATGAGAGGGGAGCCTCCACACGCAGAGCACGCCAAGGATGTTCACTCACCACCGATGACAGCCCTAAAAGCAGAGGAAGGATTGTTACGTCCACGGCTTGGGTACTGCCAGTGCAGACGAATAGATGGGTCTAGAGAGGGCTCTGCATGGAATCAGAACAGAGACAGCCATCCATGAGCTAAAGACAATAGCTTTGAATTTCTTCTTCACCCAGAGGTCAGTCATCAGCTGCCTCCATCCGCTGGTATGAGTCCTGCTTCCAGCCAGATTTCTGCAGCTGGTGAGGTGATTTAACACTTTGGCAGAGAGCATCAGGCCGCAGCATGATGAGGTGCTTCTTTCAGTGATGCTGTCTTTGCGCGGGTTCCTGCCATCTCCCTGAGGTTAGATGGCACTTTGGGGTTTCCTTCTGAGGAATATCAGACCTGTGGGAAAGGTCCAACCTCACATGTCCTGTATAGAATAAAGAGGGATATATGTGGTCAGACCTATCCCACAGGTCCTGTATTCTTACACATGTGCAGAGACCTTGACATGCCATCTGATCTTCATTCTGCCAGTTCCGTCCTCTTCATTGTTGCCATCTGCATCAGTGCCCTCATCACCCGCCACTCCTGTGTGCCGAACCCATGCACGCTTCCCTCTCACCTGTGGAGAGCTGGAGGCTGAGGCTGAGCGGACCTTGCTGCCGCGACCCGTGCCAGCAGTGGTCAGAAGGGTGCCGGGAGGTGGTCCCTGCTGGGGTGGCCAGCCACAGTCCTGATGGGAAGCTCAGGGCAGGGCCTGCATCAGGGCCAAATTCTGAAATGAGGCACAGCAATGTGGACGACCTCGCTGGGTGCAAAGTCCCATCTCTTGCGCTTTTCTGCAGGGCTGTTTGTCGCATTGCCAGCCAGTGCCTGGGATTTCTGGGAAGCATTTGCGGCAGAATACAGCACCTTTCAAATCAAACACAGCCCTTGGCGGTTTTGGGTCAGATGAGCTGTCAAGCTGAAGCAAATGTGCAAAACAGCCTGCATTGTTCCTGAAGCTGAAATATCAACGAGCCACTGGGAAACAGTCTTCTGTAAACATCGCGCTTAGCGCTGTAAGGCCAGAGAATAATGATTCCTTGCAGGTTTTCAGCTTTCAAAAGGTTATTTAAGACTCCTTTGTGTAAAAGGACATAGGTGCTCAGGAGAGCAGCTCAGCATCCACGATCTTGCTCTCTATATGTTTTGTTGCATGCATGAGTGTAACAGGGAAAAAGTGCGTGTGTCTGTGGTCACTTATCCAGCTCATGAGCTCAGGGAGGTGAGGGTGCCAGCAACCACAGGAATGGAGCTGTGCAGGTGTGTCCCAGTCAGAGAAGCTGGGCTGGACTGAGGTGACGGTCTGTGTGTAGCCAGGCCTGGCTGGGGACCGTTTCCTTTCAGTGAATGGTTCTGTGCGCACTGCAGCATCCCTGCTTCATTCACCCTGGGCAGCGGGCCCCTTGTGCTTGGGGATCCAGGGAATGTTGGAGTTGGTGTGCTGAAGAAGCCTGTGAATATGTATGTTTTTGCTGGCTGTGCAAATCAGACAAATTCGTGACACCAACTATGATCTTGGAGGGCTGGTGTCTTGAGCAAGAGGGAGGTAGAAAACCTTTTACAATATGATAACCCACTCTGGGAGCTGTTGTAAGTTTAACTGGAGTGCTGAAGGTTGAAACTGGAGCTTACCCTGGAATTTTCTGTGCCCCTACCTGCATTCAGGTGGGGATGAAGCAGTTCTGTGACGTGACCTTCCAGTACTCTACAGAAGCTGAAACAGATGGTTAGGAGGTGGAGTGCTTGGGCAGGACTGTGTGCTCCCAGGGAGCTGGTGGCTCTCTGCCATGTGAGCGAGTTGCACAGGGGTGAGTAAGCATAATGCATCCATCTGGGAGAAGCAAGGCACTTTTCCCTTGTGGGGAAAAAAGTGCCATTTGAAAGTGCCTGCAAATATTTAACGTCTTTGCCAGCAAATATCCCAGCCCTTCTGTTCACATCTGGGAAGTGGAAGAGGGAGTCAGAAATGATGAAGCAGAAGCTATTTCGGCAGCCTCTGGGGTGCTGGCTCGCCTGACCCTGCCTTCCGACAGCCCAGGGATGTTCCAAGGGCATTCTCCAGCCCTGTGCTCCAGGGGTTTCATGTATAGGAAAAAGGAGAGGTGAACTGGGGCACCTGCAGAGACCTTCCCAAGAAGTCGCCTGCATTGGTTGAGAGCTTCTAGGAGCAGGCAGAGCTTGAGCAGTGGCACAGCCAATGCTTCCCCTGCAGTCTTTACTACAGTTCAGTGCCAAGGGAGCAAAGCAGCCCCTGTGCTGGGCATGGACAGCAGGATGGAGCCGTTGGTGGGCAGTCTGTAAAGCTAGCTGCTAGACTGGAAGCTCCTGAACTGTTATGAGTTATATTGAGCTGCTACTTGGATAAAACCATTGGCCTAGGCAGAGCTTCTCACTGCACTTCTGTGTGTGTAAATGTTAAATGTTAAGGTTTGCACGCACACTTACACAGTGTGTGCATCCTCCTCACTCTGAGCCATACAGAGAGCTCAGCTCTGTGTTTTAGCTGTGGAAAGCATCACTGTGGGCGAGTGATCTCAAGGATGGGCATCTCTGGAAAGCCACTGAAGTGGAGTCAAGAGTTGACATCAGGGATGTGTCAACTGAGACAGTGTTTGTGGGGCCACACACACCCACTGAGAGATGGGGACGTCCAGCCATAGGAAACAGCCTGCAGGGGCTGCACTTCTTGCTCATGGGGAAACCTCTACATTAATCAGCAGCTCAGCAGCAGGGCTGTGTGCAGTTCCCCTGGCAGCATGGAGCCGACTGTGGCTGTCGTGCTGATGCCAGTGCAGGGCTTGAGGGCAGGACAATGAGTCCTGCTCCCGGTAGCCAGAGCCCTCTCCAGCACGGGCCAAATGCTCACAGTCCAGTCTGTACAGGAGCTCAGGGCAGATGGTTCCCTGGAGAGCCTCAGCCCCACTGGGTGACTAATGCCCCTCTCCCTACCTTTGCTCCCTCCAGAACGG